TAAAATTGCGATTTAAATAAAACAGATGGAAAAATTGTGGAAATATGTGCTTATTACTATATTCATAAATATTTGAAATATCGTGCATGCAATAGTTTAATTTTTTATTACGTCCCTTCCAAATTGATTTGAAAATTAGCTATTTTCAGAAAATCGGGTATTATTTTTCAAGATGGCGACCACATTGACAGCGTGGGCCGACTTGGTAAAAATATATTTTGTAAGATTGTTACAATGAAAATCAAATAACTGTTGGATGCTCACGTTTTCAGTCATTGTCTTACCTTAAAGCAGCATAGAATCAAACATTGGTTCCTTTTGATAAAGCTGATACATGCTGTTGTTTTTTTATAAAAATTTTAAAAAATGGCGACCAAATAATTTTCAAACGTAGACGATGTTCGACACTTATTTTGTCCATGCAAATAATTCAATTTAATTTCAGTTTATATTGCAATTAAATATGACACGTTATTGTCACTATAATAATAGCCAAAGACATAGCTAGACTAAGGAGATATTAAGTCATAACATCAACGTAATCAAAGAAAACAAACATGGCACCTAATCACGATGTAAGTTTTGACAATACCTATGTAGATGTATGTTTTGACAATACCTATGTTGATTAGTGTTGTCAGATTCTCAATGAAATTCATTACGATATTATTTTATATTTATAAAAGAAGACCTCGAATGGATATTAACCGAGGTATAATAACTATATTTTTCAATTTTCTTTAAACCATTCATCGGGTAACTAGTAAATTTTACATAATCCTAATTAAACCAGTAACATACAGAGTTATCGAACGTAATTATGACTGGAATAGTTGCATATGATTCAGTGGCGGATCCAGGGGGGGGGGGGGGGGGGGGGGGGGGTCCGGGGGTTGAAACCCTCCCCTTTTTTGACGATCAATGCTTTTGAATGGGGAGTTATGGTTGGAATTCCCCATTTTATCCTGGTTTGAAACCCCCTGTTATAAATGGCTGGATCCGCTCCTGGTATTTTTACAGCTGATCAAAGCAATCATTGAATGTAATTTTAAGCTTGCTAAAGTGTTGATTACAACTGAATATATCAACACCCAGGACGCAACGGGTACAATACCACTTATTGCTGCTTGTCGTAATTGTCCGAGATACAGAGACCGAAGACATCCATTTTGTAGAATTTTTTTTATACACAACGGTGCATTCCTTGAAAAGTAACACACATTATCTTTTTTTAACTAAATTTGAAGCATCATATGACTTTTAACAGATTTGGCATATTGACTAATTTGGCAGTGTGTCATTATTCTTTTTATTATTTACTGTTAGCAAACTTGCCACTCTTTTGGAAACTAAATAGCACGAAAATAAAGACATTTCAGGAATATACCCATAATGAGGGATACTTAAGCTCCCTTTTACTGGAAAAAGCAGGTATGCTAGGTTTTCTCTCAATATTTTTGGTGTTCATCAGGTACGCTATGTGTTTATCGGGTAATATGCTAGGGCGTCGTCAGATATGTTTGGTGTTCATCAAGTATGCTATGGCGTCATCAGATATGTTTAAATAAATAAATAAATAAATAAATAATCTTTATTTCAAGAGGATAATCCCATTAGTTAAAACTAATCTTCCTGAGAGTCCTCAAAATAATAATAATAACATATCTATAAGTACATACAATATTATAATGATATATTATACACAATATACAATTGTATCTAGATAATAATGAAAAAGCATATTAATTTGCACAATTGATGAAAAATTTGTAACATTTTGTTTTAAAAGATACAAGTGTATTACTCATTTTTATTTCATTTGGTAAACTGTTCCATATTTGAGAACCTGAATATGTAAATGTTTTCTTTAAAAAGTTTGTTTTTGGTTTCGGAAGATTTAATAGTTTTTCATCAGCCGAACGTAAATTATAATTCTGATTACCAATAAAATGAAAGTTTTCTTGTAAATAGTTAGGAACCATATCATTTAATGATTTAAATACAAGTATTGCCTTTTGATATTGAATGCGTTTTTTCACATTTAACCAGTTTAAACTATTAAACAACAAACTGGATGATGTCATTATGTCAGCTTCTACTATAACCCTAGCAGATTTCTTTAATAACTTATTAAGTTTATTTATTCCACTTTCATAGCAACTTCCCCATATATTGCAACAATAATCAAACAATGGCAGAATATAAGCATTAAAATAAATAATACGTATATGCATAGGTACATATTTTCTTATCTTTTGTAATAAATTGATTCTATTTGATATTGTACATGACATTTTATCTATTTGCTCATTCCAATTTAGGTTTTTGTCGATATATAAACCGAGAAGTTTTTCACAATCTACATTCTCTATTTGTTCATCTGAAATTTTGATATCTAAACTGATCCCAGTTGAATAAAGCCTCTGTTTTGAACCAATAATCATTGATTTACACTTTTTGGCATTTAGTTTCATACAATTTTGCGAACACCAGTTTTCAATTACATGAATATCATTTTGAAGGTTAGCAGTTAACTGAAGTACATTATTACCTTTACTATGTAATGTAGAATCATCTGCATATAAATCTATTAATGAATTTTTTATGTTCAGTGGTAAATCATTGATATATAAAATAAATAACAGAGGGCCAAGGATAGAGCCTTGTGGTACACCAGTTTTTATGCATTTAGTATTAGACATGACGTTATTGACCTTAACTTGTTGACTTCGTTCAAACAAGTATGACTTAAACCAGTCTAGTGTACAGTTTGAAACATTATAATATTCAAGCTTTTTTAATAAAATAATATGATTAACCAGATCAAAAGCTTTCTTTAAATCTAAAAATATAACTCCGTTTATTTCTCCATTATCTATATTTGCTAACCATTCATCTACTAATTTAGTAAGTGCAGTTGTGCACGAATGTTTAGGTCTGAAACCTGACTGTGTAGTATTAAGAAGGTCATCAGCTTTGCTAGAGTGTGATCATATATGTTTGGTGTTTATCAGGTACGCTACGTGTTTATAAGGTATGCTAGGATGTAATCAGATATGTTTGGTGTTCATCAGGTACGCTAGGTGTTTATCAGGTATGCTAGGGCGTCAACAGATATGTTTGGTGTTCATCAGGTATGCTAGGGCGTCATCAGATATGTTTGATGTTTATCAGGTATTCTTGAGTGTAATCAGATATATTTTGTGTTTATCAGGTACGCTAGTTGTTTATCAGGTATGATAGGGTGTAATCAGGTATGTTTGGTGTTTATCAGGTATGCTAAGGTGTAATCAAATATGTTTGGTGTTTATCAGGTACGCTAGGTGTTTATCAGGTATGATAGGGTGTAATCAGATATGTTTGTTCATCAGGTACGCTAGTTGTTTATCAGGTATGCTAGGGTGTAATCAGATATGTTTGGTGTTCATCAGGTATGCTAGGGTGTAATTAGATATGTTTGGTGTTTATCGGGTTTGCTAAGTGTTTATCAGGTATGCTAGGGTGTAATCAGGTATGTTTGGTGTTTTAAGGTATGCAATGTGTTCTTACGTTTTATCTGAGCTCACCAGTAATATAATATGTTCAGGGGTATGCAAGGTGTTCTTCGGGTTCAGGTATTCACCGGTAATATAAGATGTTTATTGGTATGCTAGGTGGTCATCAGGTATGCTAGCTGCTAGGTGTTCACCGGTAGTGTAAGGTATTTATTGGTATGCCATCATGTATGTTCTCAGATTGATGATTGATTGTTGGTTGATTAACATCCGTTGGCAAATATTTCATGCATGTTCAGGACGAGAACAAATTAACAATAATGAAAATAAGTATGACCTGTAAAAAATAGAGGCCGCCAGGGATGAAGGTCGAGGAAATTGAATCGCCACTTGAAAATAAGGGCATATTAGATAGAAACGAAGTTTTGCCTTGCAAAAGACCTCATTCGGACCTATTAAAAAGTTGTTGCAAGGGTTCTTAACGTGTATAGAGCGTGACACTCTCTTAACACTAGGCATCGGATTTAACTTCCCCATTCTGACCAGACGTGGTTGCGTAATTGTACATCCCGCAAAGTCATATGGACAACCACTTTGGCAAGGGTTTTACTGTCGGTCGGAAGAAGACCAAAGTGACCATATTTATATTCTTCAGTCATCATTGGGTTGTTCATTGGGTATGATTGGTGTTCATCAGGTATGCTGGGTGTTCATAAGGTATGCTAGCGACTTATAGATTAATATAAGCATATCATTACCTTAAAATACAGAAATATGTAATATGCAAATAGTTAAAGGCACGCAAGACTTAAATCGACAATTTGCCGAGTAAAGAACTTTAAAGTAATTTTCTGTTAAGTTAAATTAAATATATTTTATAAACGGAAACTGTTTAAGAAGCATAGGAACTTATACATTTGTTTACAGTGCCTAGGTATCAGTATTCGTCATTTGCGATGTTTCGTTATATATTTCATATAAAGCCATATTGATATTTCAAAAAAATTATTATCGGTCATTTCATGTCGGATTTTAATAAACTTAGTACCATTAGAGTGAGAATTAACACATAAGTGAACGTATTTGTTTATTTTACTAAAATTTTGATGTGAAGTTTTTTAATTTTCTGATTATTTGTGTTTCATTTACTAGTTATCAGGAAATTTACATACATATTTCAACTAAAATAATTTCGTAAATAATTATCATTGAGTTTACATCAGGAGAAAATTAAACAACTGAAGAATCAGACATTTCTAAAACATCCAACACCTGGTTTGTAAAATATAAATGCCTTCTTAAATTTTTTGTAATGTGTTTTATTTTACTGTAAATGACGAATTCTTTTGTCCATGCACTGAATATTAAAATCTGTCAGAAACAACGTAAAACTCCAGCACATCAACATAATAAACAAATGAAAATATAGCGTCATATTACATTTTTAACATTATTATGATTTATGGATGATCGATATACCTTCACGACACCTGTCCGATAGATGGCGTTGTTAATCTTATATCACAGTCACGCTATTGTTAATTCATAAAAATAGTATCTAAAATGTAACTTATAATAGTGTATTATCGTCACAATTTAGCTGGATAAGCTGTATAAGGTAGGTGTATTTTAATGTTTGGGTTTATCTACTGTGAATTTTAACTCCCGGCTAACCGGTAAGAAGATTTAAGTACATAATATAGTATGAGTCATCTTTATCTCCTAATCAATGCGACCATTTAAGGTCAAGTATGTAAATATATAGCCTATAACCGTACTTGTTATTGTTTTCATCAGACATTGAAGTGACATGACTGTCACTTGTCTTATTGTTTTATACATCTTGTATCGACTACAAAAGATAAACTTATTATGAAAGGCGGTTCTTGTAAATTGATACCTGATATTTTGCTATTTATAACACCAGGGACCAATAGATATTAATCCCAGAATACGTCATTCACACATTTCGATACTAGAACTTATGTCTAGTAAAATAGTAAGATATGACTAATCCAAAACATTAAGGACATTTTTTTCTTTAAAGCTTTATACCTTTAAAATGCAACAAACTCGATTTCGTTTGTTTAAAGAAAACTAAAACACATAATTGAATGTCTTTGATGCATTAGATTCGTGCCTATACAAATGTTTTTTTATCAAGCTGTTATATGACAAAAAGAAGATCAGAAAAAAATGAATTAATAATTATAGACTCCTCTAAAAATACAAATAAAATAAAAAGTTTTGCTGGAAAATTGATACTATATATCCACCTGAACATGATATCGACATACCTAGATATAAAGCCTCAAATCTATATCCTTTTCTCAAATTTGTGTCCAATAGTTACGTCATTCGCAAATCTATGTTCGTTTAAAAAGTGCGTCCTCAATTCTGTGTCTAGAGCAGTGTCTATAGTCATTAAGTCATTCGCAATTTATGTCTTTGTAAAAAAATCCGGCCTCAAATCTGTATCCTCTTAAGTAAAGTACCTGCGATTCAATTATCTGACCAAATGTGTCCCAATCCTTGTGCTATAACTTGAAAGCAAAGACTGTCAGGTGATTAAACAGAGATTTGTTTTCAACAAGCATTTTATTCACCTTCTCCATTTGCAGACGATTTCCTTATTAGTGTGGGTGTTTCCAAAAAGAGGACTTTATTACACTTCTTTTTTCCCTCTTGCTTTCGATTCTCAGACGTCAATACGTTTGTTGAAAAGGTCACAGATTTGAGGAAAGAAAGGACATTGATATGGGACGTCTATAACGCAATATAAAAAAAAAGAAACAGATTTGAGGCCGGACATACATTTGAGACTTACATATATATTAAAAAAGATAACATGCCCGTTGAGAACATTTCGTGTCAGGGTGATATGTGAAAAAAAGATGCAATTTGATCTAATGTATCAAGTATATTACAGTGAAAAATAAATATGGTTGTATATCTTCTTCGGTTAATACAATAGAAATATATAAACGGTCTTTACACATGCATCAGACAATACTAGGAGGTTAAGATATAAATTTTAAAAAAATATTCACTTATTGCGGGAAAATAGACGTATTTACACTTGTATGCAAATTTGTCCGCCATTACTTAAAATCACACAAGTTCCCGTAAAATTTGACATCACAATCTAAAAAAAATGACGTCATTTTTAAAAAGTGATTGTTGCTTGAAGTCAGAAGGTTATTCGGAGAAGATCTAAGGTCATTCGGAGACAAAATTCAGCTAAATACCAAAAGTGTAAATACGTTTATCGTTCCATGCTCAATATTGCCAGGAATACTCTGAAACTTGCTGTATGGACAGAATTGTAAATTTATATTGATGCATAATAATCATTACTCGGAGTCATGATGTTATTAAGCTGCTCAGATTATACAGCGTAATACGGAAGCCCATTTAGGACCTTCCAAAAATATAATTTGAATTCGAAATCACGAATACAATTCGTTATAACAGATTAAATTTGTGAAAACGAATTGTTGGAAATCGTTATAACAGATTTTTGAAATTCGTAATTACGAACTAAATTCGTTATCACAATTTTTGTTATTCGTGATAACGAATTAAAATCGTTATAACGAATTGTGTAATTGGTTATAACAAATTATATTCGGGATAACGAATTTGTGGAATTAGTTATCACAGTTTTTTTTGTAATATAATCCGTTCACACCAATTATACAATTCGTTATAACGATTTCCAACAAGTCGTTATCACAAATTAAATTTCTTATAACGAACTATACAATTCGTGATAACAATTTAAATTCGTGATTTCGAATTCAAAATTTTTTTGAAGGTCCTAATTGGGCTTCCGTAGTGTAACACGTGTGTTCTGTTCAACAGAAATTAAAACTCCAGACGTATATATCTGAGCATCACGTGACGACACAATCCTTCTAAATCTCGCGCGTGGGTCTTTATTTTGAAAAAAAATGTTTCCAAATCAAAAATTAAGGACCTCCCAAAAATATTATTTGAATTCGAAATCACGAATTTAAATCGTTATCACGAATTGCATAATTCGTTATAACAGATTAAATTTGTGATAACGAATTGGTGGAAATCGTTATAACAGATTATGTAATTCGTTATTACGAATTAAATTCGTTATCACATTTTTTTGTAATTTGTGATAAAGAATTAAAATCGTTATAACGAATTGTATAATTGGTTATAATCGATTGTATTCGTTATAACAAATTTGTGGAATTAGTTATCAAAGGTTTTTGTAATTTGTGATTTCGGATTAAAAATCATTATCACAGATTTTTAGCTCACCTGGCCACAGGGTTAAGTTGGCTTTTCTTTCTCAATTTGCGCCCGTCGCTGTTCATTAACTTTTTCGAAAAACTTCTTCACTGAAACTTTTTGGTCAAAAGTGAAACAATCTTGACCGCAATCAATTTAATTTTAACGAGTTTTATTTGAAAATTTAGCAAAAGAGATTGGACACTTAATTAGGAATATTGTTTGTTTTTTTGTTTTGTAAATGGGCGCTAAATGGGCACAACTCAAGAGCGGTAACAGTGACGCCACCCAATTTCAAACTTGATCTGTGTTTTGTGTTAATAGGTATTGTGTAGTAGTTCACTAACATTTGGTTGATGCAAACTAAAATTAGAGAACGAAAACGACAGATTTAGCACTAAATCTTTGTCCATTTGTAAAGGGGCATAACTCAAGAACGGTTAAAGTGACGCCATTCAATTTCAAATTTGATCTGTGTTTTGTGGTAATAAGCATAGTGTATAATTAAAATTTATAACATTTGGTTGAGGCAAACTAAAGTAAGAGAACGGAAACCAGTTTTATGAACGTACGCGACGGACGGACTGGACTGACGGACAAGGGCTATACTTTATGCCGCATTGCCTAGCGGCGGGGGCATAAAAAATCTGTTTAATACTCATAATTCGTAATCGATTCATTTTTTATTCATTATTATTCACTCTGTGGTTAAAGTTTTTCAAATTTTAATAACTTTCTTAAACTATCCTGCATTTCAACCAAACTTGGACAGAAGCTTGTTTATGATCATAAGATAGTATCCAGAAGTAAATTTTGTAAAAAAAAAATCCTGTTTATTCGTATTTTACTCATAAATGGACTTAGTTTTTCTGCCAGTTAACATTACATTCACTCTGTGCTTAAAGTTTTTCAAATTTAAATAACTTTCTTAAACTATCCTGGATTTGTACCATACTTGGACAGAAGCTTGTTTATGATCAAAAGCTAGTATCTAGAAGGAAATTTTGTAAAAATTTATTTCCTGTTTTTCCGTATATTACTTATAAACGGACTTAGTTTTATTCCAGTTAACATTACGTACAGTCTGCAGTTAAAGTTTTTAAAACATTTATTAGATTCATAAACCTTCTTGGATTTTTACCAAACTTGAACAGAACTTCTAACAATCAAAAGATAGTATCTAGAGAAAAAATTTTAATAATTTTTTCCCCATTTTTGTTGAGCCTGCGACGAACAGCAAAAGTAGGCGAGGCACTGGGTTCCGCGGAACCCTTACGAATTTTTCTAGAGAGTTTTGGTTTGTAAACTGGGTCACTGGCTAATAAACTTACGTATCAGTTTGTGAGATAACCCATTCGTTTACACGACAAAAACTTTTAGGTTAAGTGTTTCTGTGTTTATATTTGTACATTGAGAAGACCCCACTAATGTTGTTTCAGTTTGTGTCCAATCCCTTTTGCTAATTTTGCAAATAAAATGCGTTAAAACTAAATTGATTGTGGTCAAGTTTGTTTCACTTTGGCCAAAAGGTTTCTGTGAAGAAGATTTTTTTTTAAAGTAATGAACAGCGACGAGCGCAAAGTGAAGAGAAAAGCTCACTTAACCCTGTGGGTCAGGTGAGCTAAAAATCTGTGATCATGAAATTTCATCCGAAATAACAAATTACAATAAAAACTGTGATAACTAATTCCACAAATTCGTTATAACGAATATAATCCGTTATAACCAATTATACAATTCGTTATAACGATTTTAATTCGTTATCACAAATTACAAAAAAATGTGATAACGAATTTAATTCGTAAAAATGAATTACAAAATCTGTTATAACGATTTCCACCAATTCGTTATCACAAATTTAATCTGTTATAACGAATTATACAATTCGTGATAACGATTTAAATTCGTGATTTCGAATTCAAATTATATTTCAGGAATGTCTTAAATGGGCTTCCGTAAAAAATAGATATTGAAACAAATTTATAAAGAAAATTGCAAGGATGAATTTTAGGATGTTTAATTAACCCTTGCATGTTCCTATTGAAATTGATATAAGGACATGCCTGGCTATTTTAAGAAGGGGAAGCATTTTTTATCCTTGCATGTTCCTATATTCCTAGAAACACCAATATCTCAATAGAACTATTCATTTCTTTCTGACTTGACGATATGCACTATGATTTGATCAAAGATGCCCCCTTTTTCTCTCTTATATTTGTTCGTTCTTAGACACCAGCGACTCTTTTCACAAAAAATCTTACGATTAAAATTGATCGTAAGTTATACTGAAATGTGTATGACTTACGAGTATTTTTACTCTTAAGATTTTTTGTGAAAAGAGCCGCTGGTCCCATGTACTAAATAGAGAAACTAGTCCGTAAAACTGCCCCAAATAAGGATAAGAGGGGGAGGGTTCAGAAACATTAAACCTGTTAAACAGAGTTTTGAATATGCATTAGATATTTGTCACTGGATGTCAAATCAACAATCAATCAATACAAAAAATGCGCCAATTTGGGTTACGCAATCTTTCAATCAATGATTAAATAATACTATTGGTAGAGAAATTCACAATTTGTTATGTCAAATTGATAATTTGTTATTTCAAATTGATAATCTGCTAAATCAAATTGATAATCTGTTATATCAAATTAATAATCTGTTATATCAAATTAATAATGTGTTATATCAAATTGATAATATGTTATATCAAATTAATAATGTGTTATATCAAATTGATAATCTGTTATATCAAATTAATAATGTGTTATATCAAATTAATAATTTGTTATAACAAATTAATGTTATATCAAATTGGAAAATGTAAATTAGCATGGCCGTAAAAGGCTTCCGTAAAAACACATCAAACGAATGGAAAACAACTGTGATTTCAATCTTCATGCATATACCGATGGATACCTTTCAGACAACATAGTGCAATAGATAAAACTATACAATAATATAAAAAGCAAATATGATAAACAACAAACAAATACGACCATTGACTTTCAAGCCTGACTTGGGACATGCACATACATAATGTGGCGGGGTTTAACATGATCGCAAGCCTTAAACATTCCTGGCGAAGGGGAGCTAACTAGTTTTCTTTTAAAAGATTGGAGTAAATTTTACATTTATGGATATTCATTAAAACGTGCAGTGCTGTGGTTTTTTTTCTCCATAATATTGATGATAAATCATTGTCTACATCTACTTCAATTAAATGAATCTATGTGATCTGTTCTTATTTACGATTGAATGTCAATTTGACTGTACACAAGTATGATCTTTGTTTATACATTTTTTTTCAGGAATAAAGAATGATCAACCTTATTGCACTCATCTTAATTAAATTCATGTTACTTCAGAGACTGCTAGCATTAGGTGAAAACAAAACCTGTGTAAACAACTGTACTTGTGATTGGGAGAGTAACACTGTTGACTGTAGTTCTAGGAAACTTAATGCGATTCCAAATTTTGGTTCCAGTTCAGCAACTATTCAATTCCTTGATCTATCCCACAATGTTATCGAGACTCTTCAAAGTGAGAGCTTTCGGAAATTTACAAATTTGACGTCGTTACATTTAGAATTCAACAAAATATCGGAAGTAGAAGAAGGTGCATTTAGATATTTGACAAAATTGACTGATTTGAGGATAAATAAGAACATACTTACTGTAATTAAACCGGGAATATTTGTTAATCTAAAAATAGAAAACCTGTATCTAGGTGACAATAAAATAGAACACATAGAAAATAATGCATTCTCAAATCTTTCTAATCTTGAATTTATAGATTTGAATAACAATTTTCTTTCAACAATACGTGAAAATTCATTTAGTATTCTTCCATCACTAAAGGACTTTTACATAGAAAACAATCGCTTAACTACAGTGCCGACTTCATTTTTCTCTCGAACTCCTCGGTTAGATTTTTTAGTGATGAACAATAATTCGATATCAGCAATAGATAAATATGCATTTAAAAATTGTTTGAAGTTAAAGAAATTGCATTTAACAGGTAATACAATTAAAACGATTCACCCTAAAGGATTTAGTATTCCAGCAGGAAATTCGACTGTTCAACCATTAAACCTGGTGTATCTTCATATGGCCAACAACATGTTAGAAGATGTACCACCAGCAATACAGTCTATACCTTCTTTGTCTTATCTTGACCTCAGCATGAATGTATTTAAGTCCGTGCGCTCATCTGCTTTTGTCTCACTTTACCGTCTTAAGAGTTTGCACTTGTCACGCATTGAGGATTTAGAATACATTGAATCAAAAGGATTTGCTGGTCTTGTGGCACTAACACAACTCTTTATGACAAACAACAGAAAACTTCGCGACATACCAATAGATGCATTTCCTGATTCATACAAGCTGCAAACCATTTTTCTCGAGGGTAATGCTCTTCGGACCTTACATGAGCGTATGCTTAACTGGGACAATTTGAAAATCTTAAAAATAGGCCAAAACAATTTTTCCTGTTCGTGTGATTTAATTTGGATAAAGACAAGTAAACTGTTACAAAAAAGTGGCACGCGGCAGACTCTCGAAAAAGCAACATGTTCACTGAATAGACAGACAAAATATATATTAAAACTGAATACAGTTGAAATGAAATGCCCGATCACACAGACGTCACATAATGACGCAAAATCGCGTTTAATCACAGGGCTTATTGCTGCTAGCATAGCTTCATGTGCGCTTATCGTGTGCCTTGTATTGATCTCATGTAGACGGAATGTCTACAGCAAATACATACTGTTTAAATATCACAGACATCGAGACGAGGCACTGTTTACAGTTGAAGACCCCAAGTCTAAAACAAAAATGTTTTCGAATAAATCCTTGATCCGAAATGAACGCTCAAGAGAGGAAACATTGATGTAAAACACGTGGAATATATAGAAAGTGATACTATAAGTTTTACATGGTGCTGTAGTTTTTTTTTGGTTTTTTTTTTACTAATGCATGTCAAAAACTAATTGATGCAGTAGCAGTTTTATTAGAGCTTGTTGACCTATATCGAAACTTATGTTGCAATGACAATATTCCTAATGTATTTTCTCAATCTGCTTCCGTTTAACATCTATAATGATGTTCCCTGCATTATTACTGTTAATTTCGAAGAGGTAGCATGCCAACACGGAGGATCTTCTTTTATACAAGTCTTACTCTAAAGTTAACATATAATCCCGATGCTCTATCAATAAAACACTGAAGATCCATTTTATATATATATAAATAAGAAAATGTGGTATGATTGCCAATGAGACAACTTTCCACCAAAGTTCAAATAGAGTTGATGTAAGCAATTATAGGCAACCGTACAGCCTTCAACAATGAGAAAAACTCATACCGTATAGACTTCTTTTGTCAATCTTTTCTTGTACATCTTTTTAAAATGTACATTTGAATGATCCATAGGTGATCTGATAATGATCCTACCCAAAATTAAGTATTTACTTTATCGTCGGTTGAAGTCCAAGATAAACATGTTACCATTTGTAGCTGCAAAATAGGCAACACAAACTTTAGCAGGAGTGACCTTCGTGTATTCTTTAAGATTGTTGATTCAAAAGTCCCATTTTTTCCACTAGTGTGTTCATTATATAAACTTATGTCATAATTCCAGGAAACGATATCCACTTGTGGCATTTAAGTATTCACATTAAAGATGCTTATTATCAACATATATTTTATAACTTTTACGCAGTTTTTTCGTCTTCGAAATAGATATTTTTAATATAACCATCTTAAGAGTTGATGAATATTGTGTATATGATCTATTTATTTTATTCGGATCTGATTTGAACTTCTCAACAGGTCTTATAGTTGTATATTGTATAAACTCATATTTACACAGACATTTTTGGTTCAAAAACTATAATATATAATGTAAAAGCATAGAAAACAAACGAATGAATTCTATGATTAAAAGTTTTAACATGTGAATAATTCATTGCACTTCATTTTACTAGGTGTTTGACTTATTAAGGATGTCTTTCAAGAAGTACAGGTTTCACTTCCATGTGCGTGCAAATCATACATGTATATGAATGAGAGAGAGAGTCAGAGGATGTTCTTTTTTTAGATGACTGAAATATTTTCAGAGTATTGCCTAAATCTTTTTTTAACTTTTGAGGATATATTGTTTGTGGGTTTTTTTTATGTTACAGTTTTAGTTGTATATATTTACTATGTGTAAGGTACTTCACCATTTTATAAGATCTCAAGTATATTGAATATTATTTTCAAAACCAGCTACAATTAAAGGATTATCATCCGCTTTTGTGCTTTTGTATAAATTTAAATATTGTTTAAAAGTTTTTCATGTCTGTCTGTAAGACAAATTCACCATTTTAGAAATAGGATTATGTTTCTTTGAATATGACTGTTAAATTGCATTTGATAAATCGAATGTCAAA